CCCCCACCATCACTATTGCCACCCTACCATACCCACCACCATTACTATCACTGTCACCACCATCACCACTTCCATTTCCCCACCACTACCACCATCTCATCACCACCATCACTTCCACTGCCCCACCACCACTGCTGTCGCACCCTACCATCATCACCACCGCTACTGTCTCACAATCACCCCTACCACATACAATAGAAATCAGAAATTAAAAAATGATCAAGAAATAATACATATCCGGTAAATAGGAGTACAAAAGTTGAGCCACTACAGTTTGGTTGATCACATCAATCACTTGATCTTATCTTCATCACCATCCCATCAACAATTGAAAAGAAGAAAATTAGAAATAAATAACAAATGAAATTGAAAATTTTTAGGGCTTTTATGCGCTCAAAATAAATAAAAATTGGGGCTGATTTATGGAGGAATTAATAATCTTCTCTCCTGCTGTTGACGAGATCACTAACAAAGTCATCTTCGTCGTCTTCACATTGTTCCAGATATACATTATACGCAGGATTGTAAGCAGCGGCCAGGCGCAAGTACTTTGCGGCCTCAGCTTTACGACCTTCTTTGTATAAAGCACTGAAAAGCCACATAGTCTCGGTCAGTGATTAATACCCAAAAGAAAAAAGACGAGCACCAGTGATTCTGTGCCCAACTCAAAGAGACATTTTTTGGAATGATCAACAAATGATTAAAGAGGAACTTCCAAAACCAACTGGATTGATTGCTCAAATTCAAAAAGCTCCAAAAAACAAACAAATTGGTTGCTCAAACTCATACCTTGCAAGAAGTAGCAACGCATCAAAATAGTGGGCTTTGCTTTTTGAATTCTCTGGCTCTTTCAAGCGTGCCACTCTTTCCAAGTGTTCAATTCCCTCTGCATTTTTCCCCTGCACAGGAAGAAATGAAAATTTATAAAAGTACATGAAATTGACTTCCATTATGTGCAATTACTTCAATTGTTCACTCACCCAACTCCTGATGTCGTGCCCACCTTTTGGTAGGTTAAAATAATGTTCACGACACCAGAAGATGCTTTTGTAAATGGCCCCTTTAACTAAATGACATTTTCAAGGCTGCGGCAGAGAAAACTAACCACCATCATTGTCTAGTGGGTGAAAACTAAAAAATCGTCTTGGGGTCAATGTAATCAATTTTCTTTCCTGGAGATTTTATATCTTATATGAAAACATAGATGACCATGGAAGTTAGAGAATTCTTTTTGACCATTATGCTTACTTCAAATCTTGGATTTTATGCTGAACCAGAAATTAAAAAGAATTACTGAACTTCACCTGCCGTACGCTGGCAACACCTGCCCATTGAGATGCAAGAATCAAAAGATCAACATCCTCAACTTCTTTTGGAGGGCCAGCAAGAAAAAGCTGATCACGAGTTGGAAAAAAAAAGGTCCTCAATTAGCAAAGTGTAAAGTCTGTGAATTTGAGTACATATGCAATTACAACCACCAGGAAGAAAAATGCTGGTGTCAAAGACATTCTGGAATATTCTCTAGACTCCACAACCATAGGTTAATTAAAGAATATTCACGTGCTTTCCACAACACAAATCGTATGTTCCACAAACTTTTTTCTTGAGTCAGATATAATTTCGAGAATACTAAAGAATTAACATAACTGAAATTCCATGTTATAAAATCATGCATAGGCGCATGCCTAGGCCTGGGCCGAGGTAAGGGGTACCAAAGCACTTTAATGAGCCTAAGGCAAGGGTAAGGCGGAGTTGAGGCGCATGAGGAGTGGATTTTTTTTTTGCTTCACTGTCATATTTTGGGTCATTCATATATTGACTATGATTAAAATGTTTGATATGCATAACACATTAGAATTCCAGTATCAAAAATGCTAAATCCAAATTCTACCTATGAACTTTGCAAATTGCGCCAAATCTATCTCCTAGTATATAAATATCTAGTTTGACCAATGAGCTTTGTCTCTTCTTTTTTTCACCTACATCATCCTCTGTGTGTGTGTGTGTGTCTCTCTCTCTCTCTCTCTCTCTCAGAATCCCCTTCTCAATCTCTAGTTTTTCTGTTTTTTAGACTCGCTTCAATTCCTAGTGTATTGAAATCAACCTCTTTTTTTCATTTAAAACAACCTCATTTTATGGTTAAAGTAGCCCTTAATTTGGGGAAATTAGCCTTTGGTTCTAAAATTTTACCTCAAACTTTGTTCTAGTCTCCCTCATTTACTCCTCTTGATTCTTATCCTCATTAGCTATGAAGCACGGACACTCTCGAGAAGGTGACGTATCCGTGTTGGACACGCCCGACACTCTTTGGATACTCTCAGACACGTGTCCGATACTCTTTTATTCATGTCCATAATTAAATGATAAATTTTTAATTTTGAACACGTGTTGGACACTTTTTTGGTGACTTGTCCGACACTTCTTTAGAACGTGTCTACTACTAAACAATAGACATGTGTTGAAATGTGATTAACAAAGTTTAAAAATTTTAGAACATATAATTACTAATACTACAAATGTTAAAATTGTCCTCCAAATATAATAATAAAAACAAAAGATGCATAAAAGTTTAAAAAAAAAAGAATTAAAAAAATGAGAGCAATTATTTAAATTATATATTAGGTACACATTGTCTACAAAAAAAATTGATGATTACTGATTATTATGAGGATACTTTAGTCTAAAAATTCACAAAGATGACTACACATTAGATTTACTTATCATAAAATACTTAATCTTTTATGAATTGTATATCATTATCACCATATTTGTAATAAATTATATAATGCTATATATAAAATATTTTTTTTTCTATAGCGTATCTTCAACGTGTCCGTGTCCTACTTTTTTGAAAACTGCCGTATCGACATGTCTGTGTCGTGCCGTGTCCGTGTTCATGCTTCTTAGCTCATTAGCAATTGTTTTACAACTTTTTAATGAAATCTAATGTTAAATTAGGTAAGCATACTCACAATTCATAAATTAGCTTAAGTTGCAAAATATTATTGGTCTTCACAATAATGTGTTGAAACTTGATGTTGGAAGTTAACTAATGTCGCCTAAAATCTCACTCTAATTAGTTTTATGTTGTTGAAATTAGCTAAAATGGAATGTATCTACTGTATTTGCCTAAAATTAGATCTTTTTTTTTTGGCAAAATAATATTGATAATTACTGCTGAGATGTGCTATATATGTTGTATTTGCTAGGAAATCAATTGTAATTGGCTAATTTCTTGAATTCTTCTTATAGATCTCAAGATTCTCAACCTAAATCTATAATCATGATGATTCACAGATCAAATTCTGAAAGTTTCGAGGAAAGAGGAGTTCAAGTTTCAAAGTCAAATCAAGAGATCTCTTATGTACCTTCAAGAGCTTAGGACAAAGGTAATGACCTAAAGACCTAAGAACCCCTGGTTTAATTTTAGACTCAGACAAATTAGGATCAATAAAATTGGATATGGGAATGTCCATGAGTAACTCTTAGACTTTTCATGAAAAGCTTTTTCTAAACATCAAAGCATGTTTTGGAAACATAGGATGAGTCATGAATTGGATTCCATTTGAGAAACACTCCTTAGTACTCAATAGGTCAAGTTTTTGTTAGGTTTCTAACTTAAAAACCAATAAGGATCGCCCTCAGCTCGCTCGCCTTCGACTAAAGCGGTATCTGAACACTTCAGAAAACTGAATCGGAGAACTAATGGAGACAACTCGAGCAGTTTGAGAGACGACTTGAGCGGTCTGCTTCCTTGAGGTCTAGAATGACTCATCATTTACTACAGAAACCACCACTCTCTCACAACCCAAGTGGTTATTTGCGAATCTGAGTTTTCTTTTGTTTCAATTAAACTCTATTTTCAAGATCTATAGATAGGGGACTGTAGTTCTACTTCTCACCTAGGGTAAGCAAGCCTCTATGAGCTAGAAAAGGCTTAAAATTTTCTAAAAAACTTCAAGAATAACTTTAGATCTCTAAGATCTACAATGCCAAAACCCATCTTGATTCTTCCAATTCAACCTCACACATTAAAAAAGGAGATCTTGCTTGGTGTTCTACAAAATCCACTTTAATTGTGTGCATAACGAGAGTCTTGGGTGAGGAATTTTGAACATTGCGCAAGGCCTAGACAGTTCATTGCTGTGACCACGCCCAAATCATCAATTGGGTTTTTATGAAGGTTGGCTTTGGTGGATGGATCATAGTTGATGTGATTTGGGTTGTTGACTGATTAATTGACATATCATTGCATCTATTCACATGGCGAGCTGTTCTTGATTGGGAAAAAAAGGTTCACGCACATAATTGATTAATTAATAATTGTGGTCAATTAACCACCAAATCTTCATTTTAATAAACCTATTCACCCTCTCTAGGTTGTGCGTGCGATTTCTCGTGTCTAATCGAGTGGGAAGATTCTTCACATGAAGTGATTATTCTTCAATTGGTATCAGAACAAGGTTGCCCTTCAATTGCACTAAGGCACATTGTAGGCATTCATTGCATATTTGTATATTTGACCTAGTTTTTGTGCCTTGAGATTCGTTGTGACTATCGGTTAGTCTTTGATGGATTCTCAACGAAAAAATGGGTCAGTTACGAGATCAACAAAAACTAATTATGCATATTAGAAGGCTTGGATGAGAGCTTTTGTAAGGTCAATTAACGAGAGTGTGATTGTCGGTGATAGAAGGTTGGACCCCCTACAATGGTGACTACTACTGAGGGAACCAATACCATGATCGGACCAAAACCCCTAAGTACCTGGACTAAGACTGAATATGAGTTCGCTGGGTGGAACTCAAGGCTTAAATGTGATATTCAATGTCGTCACACCCAAAGAGTTCCGGGGAATCTCTAATTGTGAGACCTCCAAAGAGGCTTGGAACATCTTAAAAGTCTCTCATGAAGGTACACTCTTAATGAAGATGTCACGGCTTCAACAGTACACCACCTAATTTGAGACCTTCAGAATGCAAGAGGATGAAACTTTTAGTGGTTTTTATGCTAGATTAAGTGACTTCAATTCATCCTTACCCTCAGGTTCAAGTATGAAGACTCCACAATTAAATGAAAATATTGAGATCTCTATCGAAGAAGTTTCAAACTAAGGTAACGGTCTCAGAGTCTGGAGTCAATATGGAGGGGGTGTCTATAGTGTTTGTAGTATGCTCTAAGCCCAATCATATAGATGATATTTTGGGGTTGTACTAACAACATTCATTACTTAATTAAATAAAAGGACAAGTTTATTTATCATGTTTTTGCTTTATTTCATTTTAAAATGATATAGTCCATAGAGTGTAAGTTTAGAAGATTGTTTCTCAAAGAGTTGAGAAGAAGAAACATATACTTCTTAGCACTTAACTCTTTAATATTCCTAGTCATAGGATTACTATGTAGGCACTATGTAATCTGGATAGACTAGGATACACTATGTTTACTCATATTTAATATGAGGTGACTCATCCAAGTCACTAGTATAGAGACACTGAAGCAAGTGTATGGATGCTTGTTAGAGAACAAGTACACTAAACGTGACTATTGACTAACGTATGATTTTTCATATAGAGTTGTACATACTTGTCAATATTAAATCCTAAAGTTATAATTATCTAATTGATCCTTAGACTTAAGATACCATGGTTGTCTTGTGCATAGACTTCTATACTTTAATTATACAACATATTCATATACTAACTATGTAACTTTGATATATATTGTTGGACATAGTTATACATGCATGAAGATTTATGAGTGCACTATATGAAATCTCTCACCCTTAATAAATAAAGGAAGAATGTCATATCTAATCTTCTAGGATATGATTCAAGGAGCCCCTGTCAAGGCATAATAACAATTAGAAAAGAATTTATAATTGATCATTAAGAGTCGTAGTTCTAAGATTGAACATATAAAATTAAATTAGAAGTTTGACAATAATTCCATACCATAGTAATTCAATTGGAGCATTGTGTGATAGAAGGATTAAACTGTATGACAACTATAGACTGAATGAGTTCTTTACCTACTTCGTACTATCCGAAGGTTGATCATGATATGCTGCTAGGTGTCACTCATGATTAGTAGAAGCTTTAAGAATAAAATTAATATAAATATATTAATTGTTCTTCATAAAAGGAGAATTAGAAGAGTTCTAACTCAAGCTAAATTAGAAAGAGTTCTAATTTGAGATACTACTTGTAATTAGTACCAAATGCCTACAACCGGGTATGCTTGAACCTAATCACACACAATAAAATTGATTGAAAACTAAAGGATAAAGAAGATAAAACTAATTAAGAGTTAATTGGGGTGTAAACCTAATTAAGAGTTAATTAGAGACTTTATTATAATTAATGATTAATAAAGGAGTTATATGTAATTATGAGATAATTGCAAATTCACCCAAACTAAGGTTAGAGATTATAAAGTTCTATAAATACCTTTATATAAGAGGTGGATATAAGATATAATAACTCTTTTACAAGCACAAGAAGAACCACCCCACATTGTCTCTCTCTACTAATTTATCAAAAGTTGAGGTAGCTCCTTCTAATTTATCAATTCGTGTGGATACCGATAGAGGCCAAACAATTGTGAGGCTTGGGGTAAATATCAAATTCAGATTTGAAGGCTCAAAGTTGTTTCAGAAAGCTTAAAGATCGTTTAAAGCACGCTTCAAGAGATAACCCTTAATCTTCACGGTTAAGAGTATTAGGGTAGTATGTGTAAATATAAAAGGGTAGTACATGTAAATATAAGAGGGTGTATTTATTTTTTTGATTATTGTAAGTTAACTATAAATACAAGTGATGTATAAGAGGTACGTTTAATTTTTGACTCCTCTCTGTTTCTCTCTAATATTGTGTTAATTCTCTCAACTTATCATGTTATTAGAGCATAACTATTCTAAATACAAATATTAACCCAAACAATTGTGACCCATCGGTGGGGTGTTGCTGTCGTGGTGGTGGCAGTCGACGTTGGTGCAGTCGACTTGGTAACGCCTGCTGGTTTTTATTTTATTTTTTTGCTTCGTGGTGGTGCAGTCGACGCTGGTGTAGTCGACGCTGGTGGCATATGGTTTTGGCACTGTCTGTGGTGGTGTTCCCTTAGCACAGTCGATAGATATAGCAGAGATTAGGGTTTGGTTGAAACCCTAATCAGTGAAGAAGATGATTCAAGTGGGTCGGTTTGCAGGTTTGGATAAC